GGGGATGGAGAGAGACAAATGAATGGGGCTTGGGGGGGGGGGAGGGTTGAGATAAGACACATGGAGGGTCTGATGGAGATAAGATGCATGGAGGGGCTGTAGGGGAATAAGACACATGAGGGGCTAGGGAGGATGAGCCACATGGAGAGGCTGGGGGAGATGAGACACATGAAGGAGCTATGTGGGAAAATGAGGCACATAGTGGGCTGGCTGGTGGAATGAGACACATTGAGGGCCTGGGGAGGATGAGACACATGGTGGAGGGGAGTGGTGGGGGGGGAAGGCACATTGGGTCTGGCCTGGGAGCAGGGGGATGAGCCATATTGGGGGAATGGAGACAATAAGACACATGGAGGGTCTGTGGGGAATGAGACACATGCAGGGGCTGGGTGATAAAACACATGGAGGGGCTAAGGGAAGAATGAGGCACATGGAGGGCTGGCTGGGGGTGGATGAGCTACATGGAGTGCTGACTCGAGGGAATGAGACACATGAAGGCATTTAGGGGGAAATGTGACACATGGGGAGGGCCCAGGGCGATTTGTTGCACCAGTTCCCAGTGGTTTCTAGTTATGCATCTGGTTCTAAGGTAGCTTGAGTGTCAGAAAGAGCCTAAAAAAAACTCCAGCTATTTCAATTGCGTGTTTTATGGGGGTTAAAGAGTTCCTCCTCTACCTTAGCTGAATGAAACAGTTTGTTACTTCTTTTACTTGATGCAGATGAGGTGGATCAGTACTGTGACTCCCATCACCATTAGGCAGCTATAATATGAGCATTGCTCCAAAAGTGGCATATTCCGTCTACTCCCCATGAATTTCTATTCACAGAGATGTTTGCTTGACAGGATCACACACAGAATAACACTTGTATTGGGTGCTAAGCATCACTCCCAGAATCTGGCCTCATGTATTCAATCTACATGGATTATTTTCTATTCACCATGGAGCAGTTGCTTTGAATTAACCCTTAAAATCACCCAAATTAGCCAAAGAATTCTAGTATAAGATCCTTACATGTTATGATTTCCTCATCTAATTCTCAGCTACATACCTTTATCAAGGAGGAGACTCTTAACCCCTTAGTGACCAGACCGTTTTTCTTCTTACCATTAAGGACCAGGGCTGTTTTTACATTTCTTTGGTATGTGTTTACCTGTAATTTTCCTCTTACTCATTTACTGTACCCATATATATTATATACAGTTGTTCTCACCATTAAATGGTCTTTCTAAAGATACCATTATTTTCATCATATCATTTACTATAATTTTTTTTTTTTTAAAGCACACTTTTTCTAACTTTGACCCCCCCAAATCTGTTACGCATCTACAACTGCCAAAAAACACCAATGCTAAAATAGTTTCTATATGTTGTCCTGGATTTAGAAATACCCAATATTAACATGTTCCTGGCTTTGTTTTGCAAGTTTTGCAAGTTATAGGGCTATAAATACAAGTAGGGCATTGCTGTTTCAAAATATGTATTTTTAAAATTCATCAGTAGTGATATTGTAACACTGTTATCTGTCATAAATCTCTGAATTACACCTCACATGTACATATTTTTTTCAGTAGACAACCCAGGGTATTCAATTTGGGGTATGTCCAGTCTTGTTTAGTAGCCACTTAGTCACAAACACTGGCCAAAGTTAGCATTTATATTTGTTTGTGTGTTAAAAATGCAAAAAACTATTATATACGCTAACTTTGTTTGTGACTAAGTGGCTACCAAAAAAGACTGAGCATACTCCATTTGCAATACCTTAGGTTATCTTCTTATGCAAATAGTATGCCATCATGGGGGTAATTCTCAATCCTGGACTACCATACGCTCTCAAAGACAACATAACTAATCTGGCAAATTTCAGTGTGAAAAAACAGAAAATCAAGCCTTATATTTGACACTGTAACTTTCAAAAAAACACTTTAAACCCGTACATGAGGGAGACTGTTATACTTCAACTTCGCTATACACAAATATTAGTGTTTCAAAACAGTAAAACGTATCACAACAATTAAATCATCAGTGAAAGTGCCGTTTGTGTGTGAAAAAAGCAAAACACTTGACTTTCACTGACAATATCAACGCTGTGATATGTTATACTGTTTTGAAACACTAATATTTGTGTTCAGCGAAGTCTTCCGAGTAAAACAGTACCCCCCATGTACAGGTTTTAGGATGCCATGGAAAGTTACAGGGTTAAATACAGTGCTAGCAAATTAAATTCTCTGGACTTTCGGCCTGGTTGTCAGGCAGGTCCCTCAAATTGCAATCAATAAAATTACTTAATTATGTAAAAATATTTATATAAATATGCATGCAGATGTAAATATATATATACACATTTATATATTTGAAGTCTATGTGTATATTTATGAAATTATTTAGGTAATTATGTATATGGATATATAATATCTATATATCTATATCTATCTCTATATCTCTATCTCTCAACTCCTTGGTTTTGCACCCCTCCCTGTCACCGGTGCCTCATTCCAGGACCATATTTAGCCTTGACTTTCAGAGAGGAAGTAAGTGGATTAATAAGAGCAAGCATTAGGCTGCTAGAGTAGGACCTGCCAAGATTGGGGTACATTGACGTTGTGGCAGGCTTATGCAATATATGATCATATAATGTAACTAAACCCCCATAATTTTTTGCCTAGGTGATCTCTAAGATTTGAAATCATTGTTTAGTGAATAAGCGAGTGCGCTGGATTCTATTATATATATATATATAAATAAAATTCAGTTTTTTTTTTTTTTTTTTTTACAGATGCAAGGGGACTGCCTGTAAATTCAAGCAGTCCCCCTGCAGACAGCACTATGGACGCCTATTGCGGCCAAGTTTCTGAGCGTCACATGGCCCACGGGGGCCTAATTTTCAGACAGTCCCCCCAGACCGAGAGGTACACTTATCGCCGGCTGGGGAATGGAGGCGATCAGGTAAGTAATCTATTTGCCACGGATGTACTAAGTATGTCCTTGGTCCTTGAAGGACCGTTTTTGTCGGACGTACCTAGTACATTCGCGGTCCTTAAGGGGTAAAAGCAAAATTATCAAGCTTCCTTAGAGAGAACAAGATGGCTGAATATGACCTTCTGAGTGCATTCAGGAATGCCAAAGAATGTCAGGAGCATTAAACACGAGAGCCAACATGTAGCATCTCCTGTCCATTCTTATAATTGCATATCAATTAATGTATAGCAATCAATAGGAGTCTGTGTTTACATTCTGCTGTATGAGGCTCTTCTCTGCTTGGATGAACCACAGTTCACAATTTGGGCATGTAAATAACCTTGTGAAAGTCTTTAGAAAGTCAATAAGACGACAGAATAGATCTTAACCATATTCAACAAAAACAGAGTAAGATGTTTTGCAATAAAATCTAGGTGTAAACTTAGGCTCCAAAGACCTACATAGAAGTAGTCTTTTGATTGTGGGTTTCACTGATAAAAGTTTATTTTTATACTAGCCTTCTGATGGATATAAAAACACTGGCCCAGGGGTAGGGAACTGTCAGCACTCCAAATGTTGCGGACTACATCTCCCCTGATGCTTAGCCAGCGTTTTGGCAGTAAGAGCATTATCGGAAATGTAGACAACGACATCTGGTGTACTAAAGGTTCCCACCCTTGCCCTAGTAAATGGTCTGCTGTGAATGATGCTTAACGGAATGATAATCAAAATGGCACAGCGGATTTCCATTGCTGATGGTAGTGTCACTGACTGAAGAGCAATGGTGGGCATTCTACCTGAAGAGCAGTGATTGGCATGCTTAAACATATATTATTCAATATTTCATCTCCTACTTATACACCATCTAGACTTCATCTTGGATTTTCTAGCTTCACTCTCCATCACACACACACACACACACACACATACACACATCATGAAACTCAGTATCTAAAAGTCTATATACTTAAATATATTGGACAACTCCCTAGAATACACTATGTATTAGAAACCTATAGTGATTTATATGCACATTTTTTCATGCATGTTTTATTTGTAGTTTTATGTACTATATTCTGTATAGCCTGGTGCAAATAATAGTTCTGTTTCCTTGGATATTAGGTTACAGAGCTATAAAGACATGTATCAACATAGGAAGATTGCTATTCCCTGCAGGCTCACAAAGCCTGTTAAGCATGCTGCAAATTCACAATAATCTGCTATTAAGATTCAGTATTAGCACAAGTACATATTTATTTCTGGTTTCATCCACACACTTTTAGCCTAATATCAGGATGGCCCTGACCTCCCAAACATAAGTCTTTAAAATCACTGCAATGTCACAATGCCCACGGTTGTTTCTTTGTAACATGGCCATTTTTTATTTTATTTTTAGATTGTTAAATATCCACAAAATATATAACATGCACATTTAACACAGTGCTTAGGATGCACACAAAAAACCCACAAATGTTATACTGTTGAAAATGCAGGTTAAAGGGACACTCCACTGCCCAAATATAAAATACAAAATCAATGTTTAGTTGATATGCCCAAAATATACATGCATTTAATTATGCATTTTTTCATTGGAGTTATATAAAAGCAGCTTGCAAAACCTGCAGATCATTTGTCTGCTGCCTTTCAATACCTGCCCTTCTAACCCATCCCAGACTTTATGTGACTGTCCAATCACAGACTCTCCAATGCTGCTCAATGTGCAGTCTTTGCAAGGCAGGTGCTCTGGGCAATTGCTGCCTCTTGAATTAGGGATTATTCTAGCTTTCAGTGAACGAATAATCTAAATTTTATTAAAGACAGGAGGCGAATATTTGCTTATCTTTCTTTACTGTAACTCCCAGCAGCAAAGAAATGGTTAACAATGTTGTATGGAAAAATCAACCAATCATAACATATCTCAACTACAATATAGTGTCATCAGACTCCTCCCACTTCCTCTTTCTTGATGTTGCCGGTCAGTAGCAAAGTCAACCATGTAAACTTTAACTGGAACACTTCCCGAGGCTGGAACTCGAGATGAAATCAACCATGTAAACGGAACGCTGATCGAACAAACTTGAGCTCTTCACACTAAAAGAGAAGAAGAGAGACTTCGTGAAAGTAAGGTTTCTCGGACAAGAGAAAAATATATAATTATACCCCCTATTTCCAATTAGAGTTCAGACGAATTGACAGAGTTAGAAAAAATAAAATAGAATCTATTAATACCCTGTGAGATAGATGTATAACCACAAATGAGTAAATCGTATATTGCAAATTTGGATGTAAGAACGGTATCATACATTAAGCCTTGGCTATAAGACTTACCTCGAGGGTGGGTTCCGGAGTGAACGAAGGGAGGGAAAATATTCGTCTCCTGTCTTTAACCCCTTAAGGACGGAGCCAAATGTACACATTGTGAACAAAACAAAATGTAAACAAAACCTGGCATTTGCGCTACATGTCTGTCCAACCGTAATACACCTCTTTCATAGTAAATGTACCCACCCTTATTATATATCATTTTATTCAGGGGAAACAGGGCTTTCATTTAATATCAAATATTTAGCTATGAAACATAATTTAATATGAAAAAAATGGGAGAAAATACGTTTTTCTTGGATTTTTTTAGTTCTACATGACATTTTAACGGTCAATGTCATAATACTGTTTGCTTTTACTGCAATAAAATACACATATTTATATTCAGTAAAGTCTCACGTGTAAGACAGTACCCCCTATGTACAGGTTTTATGGCATTTTGGGAAGTTACAGGGTCAAATATAGCACGTTACATTTGAAATTGAAATTCGCCAGATTGGTTACGTTGCCTTTGAGACTGTATAGTAGCCCAGGAATGAAATTTACACCCATAATGGCATACCATTTGCAATAGTAGACAACCCAAGGTATTGCAAATGGGGTATGTCCAGTCTTTTTTAGTAGCCATTTGGTCACAAACACTGGCCAAAGTTAGCGTTAGTATTTGTTTGTGTGTGAAAAATGCAAAAAATGCCAATTTTGGCCAGTGTTTGTGACTAAGTGGCTACTAAAAAAGACTGGACATACCCCGTTTGCAATACCTTGGGTTGTCTACTATTGCAAATGGTATGCCATCATAGGGGTAATTTTCATTCTTGGGCTACCATAGGGTCTCAAAGGCAACGTAACCAATCTGGCGAATTTTAATGTGAAAAAACTGAAATGCAAGCCTTATATTTGACGCTGTAACTTTTGAAAACACCATAAAACCTGTACATGAGGGGTACTGTTGTACTCGGGAGACTTCGCTGAACACAAATATTTGTGTTTCAAAACAGTAAAAAGTATCACAGCAATAATATTGTCCGTGTAATGCTGTTTGTGCGTGAAAAATGCAAAAAACTTCACTTTTACTGGCGATATCATCGTTGTAATACATTTTACTGTTTTGAAACACTAATATTTGTGTTCAGCGAAGTCTCCCGAGTAGAACAGTACCCCCCATGTACAGGTTTTATGGTGTCTCGGAAAGTTATAGGGTTAAATATAGTGCTAGCAAATTAAATTCCCTTTACTTTCGGCATGGGTTGTCAGGCAGGTCCTGCTAATTGTAATTAATTAAGATACCTAATTATGTAAAAATATTACATAAATATATATGTAGAATTAATATATGTATATATATACGTATGTGTATATATATGTATATATCTATATAATTTTTTAAAAATATTTTTATTTATATATAGGTATATATATAGTGATATATACGTATATATTTATGTATATAGATATATATTATTTCGTTCTACGTGTATTTTGATATATATATATATATATATATTAATTTCACAATACAGTTAGAACTAAATAACACACATCTATATATTTTTAATTATTTATTTTTAATTATTTTTTTAATTTTATTTTTTAACGTATTTACATTTTAATTTTTTTTATATTATATATAAATATATATATAACAATAATTATATATATATTTAATCAGTATCAGTCTACGTGTAATTTGATATTAATATATATATATAATTATATATATATTAATAGTAAAATACACCTAGACGGTGTATGTGTGTGTATGTATATGTGTATATATATACTTAGATCATATATATATAATATATATATATATGATCTAAGTATATATAATTATTTTTTTTTACACCATTAACTTATTTTTATTTTATTTTCAGCCAGCAGGGGGACCACCTGTCATTACAGGCAGCCCCCCTGCCGGCAATACAGAAGCCAGCTATCCCCGGCCATGTGATTGTGGGGTCCTCGCTAGGACCCCACTCTCACATGGCCGGGGGCTTCGACGAGGACGGACGTGCCGCGGGGGGCTCCCTGGGAGTCCCCCCAACCGCGATCGCCGGCGTGGGACCGCCGGCGACCGGGTAAGTTAACAAAAACCGGAGGGCGTACAATTACGCCCGGCGGCGTTTAGAGCCGCCTATTAGAGGGCGTAATTGTACGTCCTCCGGTTCTAAGGGGTTAATAAAATTTAGATTATTCGTTCACTGAAAGCTAGAATAATCCCTAATTTTATGGCAAGACAGGAGGCTTCATATTTGCTGTTTTAACGCTCTCTAATAATAGAACAAGCCGCATGTGGTGTAGGTTTAAAATAAAAAATTCGAAATGTAGATTCCCTTGACCAATCTGCGCAGGACAAAATATCTGCCAGTGAACTGCCAGCGCGAAAGGCAGAGGATGCGGCCGCTCCCCTAACGGAGTGGGCCCCGAATGATCTATCAATTCCCGCTTGGATAAGTAACCATCTTATCCAGCGAGCAATAGTGGGGCACAGTAGCAGGGCTAGTTTTGCAGAGAGTTGTCGAAGGGATAAGGCCTCGTTAGGGGGCCAGGACTCTAACAGTGCGAAGACTCGAGATATATCCCAAAAACCAGAATATTTGGCAGAGGGTGGCCTCGTCAAACGAATGCCTCGTAAAAGTCTGCACACAGAAGGATGTTTTCCAACTAAAGAGTTATCAATAGGGTCATGTCCCGCCGAAATGGCGGAACGAAAAATATTAATCGACCGGTATGATTTACCTTGTTCGAAAAGTGATGATAGAAAATTTAGAATGGATGAAAGAGATGCTGAAACGGGATCGAAATCCCTCTCCAGACACCAGCTGACCCAAACTCGCCATGCGGCGAGATAGGTACGCCTGGTCCCTGGAGCCCATGAATCCCACAGGAGTGTTTGAGCAGTGCTTGAAAGTCCTGCGACATGCCAAGCACCCCTGAAACTGTCCAGGCCACAAATTGAAGGTGGCCTTGTAGGGCTAGTGGGTGGTAGTCGCCCGTTGAGTTCTTGAGAACCCGATGTGAGCGAGGTAGGATGATGGGATAATCTGTGGAAAGTTCCAGAAGGGTGGGGAACCACGTCTGGGCCCGCCATAGAGGGGTAACTATCACAATCCTGACCCCCTGTGATTTGACCTGGTGGAGGGTACGTTGAATCATTGAGAAAGGAGGGAAGGCATAGGCTCCGCTCCGTGGCCAAGGTTGGAGAAAGGCGTCGACAGCCAGAGATAGAGGGTCTGGTAACCAGCTGAAAAAATTGTCTGTCTGACGATTCAGCCGAGACGCGAAGAGGTCGAGAGTGAGCGGTCCCCGCAATAGGTGAATGTGGTGGAATAGGAGAGGATCTAATTGCCAGTCGCTGGCATCCCTCCAGTGACGTGAAAACCAATCCGCGACTAAATTGTCGGGTCCTGGGAGATATTCTGCCCGAATAGACAGATTCCTGTCTAAGCAGAACTGATACAGATCCTTGGTGAGGTCTGACAGCAGTTTCAATTTGGACCCTCCGAGTCGGTTTACGTATCGTACTGCGGAGATGTTGTCCATCCGAAGTACTAGAGAGCAGTTGGAGGCTTGTTTGGCAAAGCTGCGGATCGCGAAGGATCCGGCAATGAGCTCGAGACAATTTATGTGAAGTGCCTGTTCTGATGGGGACCAGAGACCCCCTGTGTATGTTTGGGCGCACGTAGCACCCCAACCGAGTAGGCTGGCATCGGATTCCATAATAAAATCTGGTTGAGATCCGAAAATCGCTTTTCCATTCCAGGCTTCCATATTGCGAAGCCACCAGTGAAGTTCGATGAGAACTTCGTCCGTTAGGGAAATGAATTGATCGTAAGAGGTCGAGCGATGTAAATAGGAGGTTTTCAGCCGTTGCATTGCTCTGTAATGCAAGGGTCCTGGAAAAATAGCCTGAATTGATGCAGACAGAAGACCCAGAACGTGTGCTAGGTCGCGGAGCCGAGGTCGTTGTGACCTGAGTAATTTTTGAATCTCTCGTTTTATGTTTTTGATTTTGGAGTAGGGTCGAGAGTGAGCGGTCCTCGCAATAGGTGAATGTGGTGGAATAGGAGAGGATCTAATTGCCAGTCGCTGGCATCCCTCCAGTGACGTGAAAACCAATCCGCGACTAAATTGTCGGGTCCTGGGAGATATTCTGCCCGAATAGACAGATTCCTGTCTAAGCAGAACTGATACAGATCCTTGGTGAGGTCTGACAGCAGTTTCAATTTGGACCCTCCGAGTCGGTTTACGTATCGTACTGCGGAGATGTTGTCCATCCGAAGTACTAGAGAGCAGTTGGAGGCTTGTTTGGCAAAGCTGCGGATCGCGAAGGATCCGGCAATGAGCTCGAGACAATTTATGTGAAGTGCCTGTTCTGATGGGGACCAGAGACCCCCTGTGTATGTTTGGGCGCACGTAGCACCCCAACCGAGTAGGCTGGCATCGGATTCCATAATAAAATCTGGTTGAGATCCGAAAATCGCTTTTCCATTCCAGGCTTCCATATTGCGAAGCCACCAGTGAAGTTCGATGAGAACTTCGTCCGTTAGGGAAATGAATTGATCGTAAGAGGTCGAGCGATGTAAATAGGAGGTTTTCAGCCGTTGCATTGCTCTGTAATGCAAGGGTCCTGGAAAAATAGCCTGAATTGATGCAGACAGAAGACCCAGAACGTGTGCTAGGTCGCGGAGCCGAGGTCGTTGTGACCTGAGTAATTTTTGAATCTCTCGTTTTATGTTTTTGATTTTGGAGTAGGGTAACTGTAGAGTTGCTTGAACTGAATCTATCTGAAAACCCAGAAACTGGACTATTTGAGAAGGAACCAGTTCTGATTTCTGGTAATTTATGACAAAACCTAGGTTTTGGAGGAGGGCAGAGGTCATGTGTGTGGGTTTGCGAAGTAATTGTTGGTCTTGGGCCATGATCAGGATATCGTCCAAATATATAATTGAACGTATGCCCCGAGAACGAAGGAGTGCCATGACCGGTTTCATTAACTTGGTGAAACACCAAGGGGCGGAGCAAAGTCCGAAAGGGAGGCAGGTGAACTGCCAAATGTCGCCTTGCCACCGGAATTGGAGGAAGGCACGGTGACTTGGTGCGATAGGGACCGTCAGATAAGCATCCTTGAGGTCGAATCTGGAGAACCAGTCTCCCACGCAGAGCAAGTCCCTGAGAAGATGGATACCTTCCATCTTGAAATGACAGTATGTGATAAAGCGATTCAATGCCTTGAGGTTGATAATGGGACGGTGATCTCCCGTCTTTTTTCGAACGAGAAATATGTTGCTGAGAATGGTGCAAGGGAAAGGCGACGGTTCGATCGCCCCTTTGTGTACCAATTTGTTCAGTTCTGTGTTCAAGGTTAGAGTGTCTGTTTCTGACATCTCTAAGGGTGTCGGATGAGTGTATTGAACTGGATGTGTGATAAAATCTATTTTGAAACCTGTGACTGTATGAAGGATCCAAAGATCCTGAGAAAGAAGTTTCCACTGTTGGAAAAAGAATGTTAATCGACCTGCGATTGATAAATTTTTCAAATAAGCAAGGTCCATTACCTGAAGCAGTGCGTCCGCGCAGGGATGCAGAGCCACGTCCTCGAATTGAGCCTCTGGTGCTGAACAGCTGTCTGTGGTAGGGTCGTGAGTATCCTGTGGACCAATACTCTGTGGGTCGGGGCCTGTAGCCTGTAAAGGCTGCTCTACTGGTAGCTAGGCCCCTTGAGCGACCAGCTCTCCCAGAAAAACGATTTTGAGTATTGGAACGGAACACCCTACGTAGGGAGGACTGGGCTTTATTGAGTGTGGTAAAAACTGAGACATGCTTGGAGAGGTCTCGCATGAAACTGTTACCAAATAGAAGACCATCGGCCTCTGGGCCTAGTTCTTTAGTGCTCAATTCTACTAACTTGGCATCGATTTTGAACAGTGCCGCTTTGCGTCTCTCAATTGAAATAGCCGTATTGGCGTTGCCCAATAAACATAGGGCTCTCTGTGCCCATTCTCTAATACTGTGAGTATAAATATTTGAATGAGTGCCTCATCTGCGAGTATAAATATTTGAATGATAGGACCTGAAATGTCTAATAATTTGTCTTGGGTCGCTTTCAAACCCTGCTCAATACCCTTACAAGGGTCTTTACCAGATTTCGTTAAATAGGTGACCAGCATGGGGTCAAATTCAGGAGTAGAGGCAACTTTGCCTGGGATAGTAGGTCTCGGGCATTCAGCCCTTAGTTTGTTTCTTATTTCTTTTTCGAGGGGCTTGCGAAGCCACAGTTTACAGAAATTAGCAATATGATCTGGGGGAGCCCATTCAGCTGAACGCGGGTGGCGTATCACCCTTGGGTCAAAAAGGGGAAGGCCTGAAGCATCCAGGAGGGTGTCTGAGTCAGGTACCTTACTCTTGTGATCTTGACCTAGGAAAGTTTCTTTCATGAACTCCGATGTTGAAGAATCCTGGGGCGCATTCACCATGGGATCCTCATCAGAGTAGTTGGGGTCATAGTCACTTAAAATATGGCCAGACAAACGTGAAGTGGAACCCTCTAGAGGGTCTGTGGCATCCTGCGTAACGCATGGGTTAGAATGTTTAATGATCTTAGCAGGAGCTTTGCCTTTGCCGGCAGTAGCGCTATTCCCTTTCCAGGGTCTCTTGCGCGGGGCGTTATCTTGGTCGGAGACATGGGAGTCCTCCGAATCAGAAAGTTGTTGTGTAGAGGGGTGTACCTCTGTGTTACGTTCATGGTAGGCTGCCAGAGCCTTAGGAATGGACTCTGCGATAGTAGAGAAAAGCCATTCCTTAAGTTCGGCAGAAATCACAGGATCTTGGCGGTCTGACATATTGTCTGTCTCAAGATATATGCAACTATTTAAACAAATTTATATATATATGTATATATATATATAGATTATATGTGTGAGGGTTGTCAATTAAAGATGAGGCAACTCAATTAGAATATGTGAAAGGTGGGGGTCACCCACGAGACGTCAAAACAGTGGGGGTCACCCACAAATGCTTGGCACAATAAATAGTAAAGGGCAATTAGTGGGGGTCACCCAATAATACAGGTGGTGAACAATATAGATATTGTACAGTCAATGAGGTGGGGGTCACCCACTGAAAAAAACACCAATATAATATATATAATATGTACAGTGAGAAATGGGGGTCACCCACAAAATAACCAGGTGGTGTCAGCCACACAGATATTTTACACAGTAGTGTTTTCAATAGGTGGTGTCAGCCACACAAATATTGTACACAGTCTGTACTTTAAATAAGTAAGTGGGGTTCATCCACAACAGGGAAAAATGGTCAGCCATACAAAGTTTGTAAAGTATGTAAATAGTTCAATGTCAGCCACACTATAAATCATACAAATTAGGGAGAGGGGTTCACCCAGATTGAAGCAGGATGGTGTGGCTGCTTGTGTGGGGCAGAGCCTGTAAAAAAAAAACAAAGCAGATAAGAAAATAGATCAGTATACTGATCTGTTTTAATAAGATGCGCATATAAAATGAAGTTGAGGCAAAAAAATTGGCAGCAACCTACCTTACACAAGTTAGGCAAGATTGTTCCCACAGGTGTGAAAAAATTTCTTGCGCGCAGTAATTGCTAGCGGAGCCGTGTTGGAAGCTACTGTGCGGTTGAAAGATGACCACCGCGAGATCGCCGCCGTTGAAAAAGGCAAAAAAAAAAAGGCTGCGTCGCAAGGGAGACGCAAGTAGGCGGGAGGAAGGTAAGGGCGGGAAAAACGGCAGCCGCGGACTCTGGGAAATGGAGTCCGCGGCTGAAGAGAGGTTTGAGAATTGGCCGCGGCTCTTGTTTTCCTCAGAAAGTAGACCAGCTGAGTGAACAGACAGGATTCGAACCCTCCGTTAATGTGAAACCCGGAGGACGCAAATAATTAAAGGGGAAGCACTCAAATTTAAAAATTATACAGTTAAATGAAAAAAGAGTATATATGTAAGGGATAGATAACAAAATATTAAAGGTATGCAGTTAAATGAGTAATGAGTATATATGTGTAGCAAAAGATGACTAAATTAAAATAAAGTTTGCTGAGGTGAATTAGATGTTTGTAAGTAACAAAAAAATAAATAAGCTATATAATTAACTTAAATCATGAAGGCAATGTAATTGGAGCAGACTCACCTGGGAGGCAAGCAGCAAAGAAAGAGGAAGTGGGAGGAGTCTGATGACACTATATTGTAGTTGAGATATGTTATGATTGGTTGATTTTTCCGTACAACATTGTTAACCCTTTCTTTGCTGCTGGGAGTTAGAGTAAAGAAAGATAAGCAAATATGAAGCCTCCTGTCTTGCCATAAAATTAAGTGCAAATAAGCTAACCAAACCAGGAAGTAACAGGACCAGTTGTCTGCTTGTAAGGCGAAGGGGTGTAACTAATATAATTTATAAAAGTGTATATTTCTAATGAAATCTACACTTTTTATAAAATGAAATCTAATAGCCTCTCTTCACACAAAAAGTTTTTTAGCAAGCTAAAGTTCTTTAGGGGTCCGGAGTACCCCTTTAATATATTTCATATAAATTGTGGATATTTAAGAAGTTTTTGTTTTACTTTCTACCTACAGAGCATTCTTCTCATGGTTGTCATTCCATTGTCCATTCAATTGTCTAGCCTGTGATTTGACATGTGGAGATTGTAAGATTACCTGATGAACCAATGTTTCCACTTTATCATGGGTCCAACTGTGACTTACTGATGTGATTATTAATTGCCTAAATTGTCCACTATTTGCAGTCATACCCATATCATCATGCACGCTGACTAATGTTTAGATTGTACATAACTAGTTGGGGGCTATGCTTGGAGGCTCTTTAAATAACAGATTCAATGGTGTTTTGACTTATCTGCATTACAGATTCAATGGTGTTTAGACAGATCTGCAATACATTTTGTCTTGGACTACAACTCCCATTACCACAGCCAATAACAAACACTCATATGAATGTAAGACCCTTATTATTTGAAGAAGCACAGTATGTCAAACTGTATTTCAAAGACTTAAACGGTGTTTGACACATCTATAAACATACAGGTGATACTTAAAAAATTAGAATATCGTGCAAAAGTTCATTTATTTCAGTAATGCAACGTAAAAGGGAAAACTAATATATGAGATAGACACATTTCATGCAAAGCAAGATAGTTTAAGCCGTGATTTGTCATAAGTGCGATGATTATGGCTTACAGCTCATGAAAACCCCAAATCCACAATATCAGTAAATTAGAATATTGTGAAAAGTAAAAAAAATATTGTGCAATATTCTAGGCTCACAGTATCCCACTCTAATCAGCTGAGTAAGCCATAACGCCTGCAAAAGGTCTGGTTCAGTAGGAATCACAATCATGGGGAATACTGCTGACCTGACAGTTGTGCAGAAAACCATCATTGACACCCTCCATAAGGAGAGAAAGCCTCAAAAGGTAATTGTGTAGGAAGTTGGATGTTCCCAATGTGCTGTATCAAAGCACATTAATATAAAGTTATGTGGAAGGGGAAAGTGTGGAAGAAAAAGGTGCACAAGCAGCAGGGATGACCACAGTCTGGAGAGGGTTGTCAGGAAAAGGCCATTCAAATGTGTTGGGCACTTTCACAAGGAGTGGACTGAGGCTGGAGTCAGTGCATCAAGAGCCACCACACACAGACGGATCCTGGACATGGGCTTCAGATGTCGTATTCCTCTTGTCAAACCGCTCCTGAACAACAAACAACGTCAGAAGCGTCTTACCTGGGCTAAAGAAAAACAGACCTGGTCTGTTGCTCAGTGGTCCAAAGTCCTCTTTTCTGATGAGAGCAACGTTTGCATCTCATTTGGAAACCAAGCACCCAGAGTCTGGAGGAAGAATGGAGAGGCACACACTGCAAGATGCTTGAAGTCCAGTGTGGTTTCCACAGTCTGTGTTGATTTGGGGAGCCATGCCATCTGCTGGTGTTGGTCCACTGTGCTTCATTAAGTCCAGGGTCAACGCAGCCGTCTACCAGGAGATTTTGGAGCACTTCATGCTTCCTTCCGCAGACCAGCTTTATTGGGATGCTGACGTCATTTTCCAACAGGACTTGGCACCTGCCCACACTGCCAAAAGCACCAAAGCCTGGTTCAATGACCGTGGGATTACTGTGCTTGATTAGCCAGCAAACTCACCTGACCTGAACCCCATAGAGAATCTATGGGGCATTGATAAGAGAAAGATGAGGGACATGAGACCGAACAATGCAGAAGAGCTGAAGGCCGCTATTGAAGCATCCTGGTCTTCCATAACACCTCAGCAGTGCCACAGGCTGATAGCTTCCATGCCACGCCGCATTGAGGCAGTAATTGCTGAAAAAGTGGCCCAAACCAAGTACTGAGTCCATATACATGCTTATATTTTTCAGAGGTCCGATATTGTTCTATGTACACTCCTTGTTTTATTGATTGCATGTAATATTCTAATTTACTGTGATTGTGGATTTGGGGTTTTCATCAGCTGTAAGCCATAATCATCACACTTATGACAAATCATGGCTTGAACTATCTTGCTTTGCATGTAATGAGTCTATCTCATATATTACTTTCCCCTTTTACGTTGCATTACTGAAATAAATGAACTTTTGCACAATATTCTAATTTTTCGAGTATCACCTGTATATGCTAGCTGGACTGGATGTAATGCAGAGCTATATCCAAGGATTCAGTCTTTTTCTTCCTTAAAACAGATATACCAATATGCCCGCCTGTAATGATCTCTTTAATGTAGAAGAAAATTGAAGAAAAAATATATAAAAGATGCTTTTCATAACTGATGAAGCGAGATGGTGTTATCAGGTAAAAGTTTTAAGAGATTATCAACTTAGACATGTTTTGCCAAAAGCAAAGAAGATTAAGTGAGAGAGAAAACAGTATTTTGTTTTTTAAAGAGACAGAAATCAGATTTTATTGACTTAGCAATGCCCAGATGTAAAAAGTTTGATGAAATAAGCTTAAAGGAATAACATACACTGAACAAAATTATAAACGCAATACTTTTGTTTTTGCCCACTTTTTTCATGAACTGAACTCAAAGATCGAAGACTTTTTTTATGTACACAAAAGGCCTATTTCTCTCAAATACTGTTCATAAATCTGTGTTAGTGAGAACTTCTCCTTTGCTGAGATAATTCATCCACCTCACAGGTGTGGCATATCAAGATGCTGATTAGACAGCATGATTATTGCACAGGTGTGCCTTAGGCTGGCCACAATAAAAGGCCACTCTAAAATGTGCAATTTTATCACACAGCACAATGCCACAGATGTTGCAAGTTTTGAGGGAGCGTGCAATTGTCATACTGATTGCAGGAATGTCCACCAGAGCTGTTGCCCGTGAATTGTTCATTTTGCTACCATAAACCGTCACCAAAGGCGTTTCAGAGAATTTGGCAGTACATCCAACCGGTCTCACAACCGGAGACCACGTGTAACCACACCAGCCCAAGAATTCCACATCCAGCATCTTCACCTCCAAGATTGTCTGAGACCAGCCACTCAAACTGCTGCTGCAACAATCGGTTTGCATAACCAAAGAATTTCTGCACAAACTGTCAGAAACCGTTTCAGGGAAGCTCATGTGCATGTTCCTCATCAGGGTCTCGACCTGACTGTCATCGTAACCGACTTGAGTGGGCAAATGCTCACATTCAATGTCGTCTGGCACTTTGGAGAGGTGTTCTCTTCACGGATGAATCCCAGTTTTCACTGTGCAGGGCAGATGGAAGACAGCGTGTATGGTGTCGTGTGGGTGAGCGGTTTGCTGATGTCAACTTTGTGGATCGAGTGGCCCATAGTGGCA